TAATGCAAAAGAGTATTTGCACTCGAGCTGAGATGCATATTTAAAGTTTGTGATTTGTTGTTGTTGTTGTGATTGTTATTGCAACGTCTGCCGCAATGTCTCCGCTTTGCAGACGCCGCCGTCGTCTCGGCTGTGGCTGCCACACGCTTGGCAGAGCTGTTGCAGGAGCAATGCAATACGGCTGCGGCTGCACGGGTGTACGGGCGTACGGGAGTCCGGGTGTTCATGGGAGCATGGGGTCTAAGCATGAGCATGGCATGTCATTTCTTGGCTTCGCCAAACATCTTTGACATTCCTGATGTCTCTGGCGCTRGCGCTGGCTTTGGCTCTGGCTCTGGCTCTAGCATCTGCAAAGTCTCATTTTCTCTGGCTGTCGCTTTGTCTTTCTCCAGCTGCGATTGTGTTCCTCATTTTACTTTTGCTGCAGATATTTGTAATGAAGCATGTTTTGCATTTAATTTATGCGCGTAATTAGTTGAAAGTGAATGCCAGTTGCAAGTAGTTGCAGTTGCAACTGCAGCCGTTTGTTGCAGCTCTGGCTAGTAGAGTAATAGGTGCTGCATATTGCGTATACGCGCCGTGCCAGAGAATCAACGGCCGCTGCGTAGCAGCCTGTGGTCAATGCCAATAAATTACTTAAGCGCTTTAGCTTTTCTTTCGCTCTCTATCTTATTTTTTCGGGGGCGAACAAAGGCAGCTCATTATTTGTGAAAAACGCGGCTGTCAAAATTGAAAATAGGGAAAAGCTGAAGAAATAAACCAAAACAATGGCAGGCAGCAGGCAGCGAACAGTCAACAGTCAACAAAGCAACAAAGGCAACAGCAACAGCAGCAACAGCAACTTTGTCCATTAGCAAATGCCGCCGTTGAGTGGCAGCCGGGGAATGGAATGGATGCAGTCAGCGACGCCACCGCCGCATAATGAAAGCGAAAATTTAAATTTTTGATACAATTTGCAATTTTTTCCTACTTCATCATTCACATCACCAGCGGCAGCAACAGCAACAGCAACATCTACAGCGGCAGCAACAAGCAGCTCCAGCTCCAACTGACTGCAGTTGGCAGTCAACAATGAAAACAATTCATCATGTTGTTGTAGATTGGAGGAACCTTTTGGCAGCAGCGGCAGCAACGCTGTGGCAGCTACGTTGCCTTCAATTTATGCGGCGGCGCTTAAATCGATTGCTTTGCCACATTGCAACAATTGGCTAGCATGCAGCAACGAGGCTCTGCTGGATCGTGGGGCAACGAAAAAACAGCGAAAATAAAATCGGACGCCTGCGCCAATCGCTGCTGAACCGTAAAACTGAATTATGTAGCTAGTCCAACACAGAGCGTCGCAACGGCGTCGGTGGCGACGGGTGGCGAAAACTTTTGACGTTTTGCGGGTGGATAATGCCTGACGACTGACCACAACCAGACCACAACAGAGATTCAAAGCCAGTGCCATAGCGAGAGCGAGAGCCAGCTTCAATCCTGGTCCAGACTTGGCGGCCTGTCGACAATTGCCAGCGCCGCTTCATTAAGCGATTCATTCATGCAGCCGATCCAGTCGATCGTGTCGTTTTATTTGCCTCTTAAATTTCTGCGCTAACTAGATGTCGCAATTGAAAGTAAGCTGTCAATGTTACACCATCAGCAGTGGGCGGAGGGGGTGGCATCTCAACAGAGACAACACTCATTCTTGACCAATCGCCCAGACAATTATACACAAAAGCCAGCTTTTAGTCTTTGTGGCGGATTTGTATATTTATTTTAATAGAAATGGATGAAGAGTCATTTATGATATTCATTTGATTTTTATATAACAGGCAGAAGGAATCATCGCAGACCCCATAAAGTATATATATTCTTGATCAGGACGACGAGCTGAGTCGATATAGCCCTGTCCGTCTGTCCGTCCGTCCGTCCGTATGAGCAAAAGGATCTCAGAAGATATAAGAGCTAGAGAGCTGAAATTTGGCATGCATACTCGTGTATACCATAGG